CTGGTTCTGTCCCAGCCTTGAGGCTGGGAAGCCGAGGGGTGCTTTCATTTGTCAAAAATGTTTGAAGAGGAGATCCCCCTTCTGTGGGGAGTGAAGGCAGAGAAGGGGGCCGGGGAGGTGCTTTGTCCCCATCACTGTTCTCACACCCCCTCCTTGGAGCACCCCCTGACCCGGGGGAGAAGCTTTCAGCCAGTGACAGCCATGGGCCATGGGCGGGAGCTAGGAAGGTGGGTCAAAGACAGTTTCCTCTTGAAAAGCCAGGAGCAGGAAACACAGAGCCGAGAAGCAGAACTGGCTTCCTTACCTGGGAGCCCCCGAGCTTCCAGCCGACTGCTGTGAGCTCCAAGTCTCTCTCTCCTGCAGGGCCAGCCTTTCATCTGTGTTGCTCCAAACCAGGGGGGCCAGGGTGGGGGGTGTGCTGCCAATTACCGCGCTGCAGCCTGATCCATCCCTGTCTCCCGCGATCTCAGCTCCGGGCTCCCAGATGCTTGTGGTCTACACCGGGCTTTAGTTTCGGATGGCTTTTCTCTTCCTAACCCTCTACCTTCAACAAGAAGCTCTGGCTCTCTATGCCTAAATGGCTCCTGAAGGCAGGCATAGGATGTGCTCGGGGCAAGAGAAGGTCTCTGCGGGGGTGACTCTGGACCTCATGGGGCCGTGCACCTATTGGGAAAGAGAGAAATGAAGCTGAATAACCCATCAGAGCTCTTTAAACCTGCTTGGTCTGCTCTCATCCTGGCTGCTTCTTCCATTATGCTGGGCTTGACTTAGAGCTATAACCCCCCAGTTTGAACTTCATAAGCAATAGACAGAAGTGCCTTTGTTTACCCCACAAGCATCATGGACGTCATGGTCACAGCAGTTATGTCTGTGGCCTTTGGCATCAGGCTGTGGAAGTCCAGATGCTGCTGTGACCCCGAGAAGCTGGTGGTGGCGTTGTATCCCCTGACCTCTTAGTGACTCAGCTTCCTCATCTGGCAATGGGGATGGATGGCAGCAGCAGATCCATCCTTGCACTGTTAGGAGGAGTCAGTGGGATGGGATAATGCGTGTAAAGTATCCAGGACTGGATTGGTCACAGAGAATGCGTAGAATGTAGCAAATGCCATAAGTGTTGCCATAAAATCTGAACTCAATTGACTGCATCCATGTGTTTTGAGCATTTGTTTTGTGGCAGGCATGGTGCACACATCTCACTTATATAAATTCTCTTTATTCCCAAAGCCCTCTGAGGGCAGAGATGGTCTGCTCCGCTTTGCAGAGAGAAGATTGGGGCTCAGAAACACAGGCCCCTTGCTCCAAGTCTTTGACCACAGAGCACTCTCTTGAGGACATCAGCCAGTCTTAGTTTTTTCTTTTTAATGATGGCAACATTTTTCTTCCAATTGAAAACAGAGCAAGTAGACCTTTTGGAGTCAGAGCGAGGAGGAAACCCAGAGCCCTGCTCCGCAAGCCTTCCCCTGCCCACCCAGAGCCCTGCTGTCCACTTAAGGAGCCACCAGCTGTGTGTGACCATTTATGTTAGAATCTAAATTAATGCAATGAAATAAAATTAAAACCTCAGTTCCCCATTTGCACCAACCACATTTCCAGTGCGTGATAGCCATATTAGACAGCACAGATAGAGAGCATTTCTTTCAGAAAGCTCTGCTGGACAGCGCTGTCCTAGAGAGTTTGAAGTACAGAATTTGGAAATAATACTGATGGGCTTCAGGCTGCTTTGCAGAGCCTCCTCTGCTCATAGACAACATAGGAAAATAATAATAATAATTGTATATCTCCCTACTGGACCCTCTTTTGTAAAGCACTATGCAAACAAGCCATGTCTATATCAGAGGGGGCATGTTTTTAAACATGCATTTAGTCCCCAGCTCTCTAGAATCATTGATCACATAGCCCTGTAGTTTCCTTCATGTGCTGTCCTCATTTTGGTTCTGACGTGGCCCCAAGACCAGAGACAGCCCATGGAGGGCAGGCCCACTTATGGCCCTTCATGGCCCCCAGCCCACCCCAGGCACACCAGTGTGTAATTGTTTCACTCATGTCTTTTGTGATTGTCTTCCCTCTTACTCTGCAAACTTGGTTCCCTGAGAAAACTTCCTGTTTTCTTTCTGTTCATCTGGCTGTTTCTCAGCTAAAAAATATTTTGTCATGAAATATGGTAATGATTTGCAGAAATCTGTGCCTGTCCATAAATACTGATTTAAGCTGCTGTTAGGCAATTCTCATGTCGTTTCCAGGTGTAGTTTTCGAATTCCATCCCAGACATGCATCAGTGTGTGGTGGGTTAACAGGAGAGGGAAAGGTTTTACCGCACAAATACAAACAGATGGCCTTCACATTTGAATGCCTCTGTGCACATTTATGTGTGTATTCATTTGTTTTTTGAGGAATTAAGAGAGTGGGAAGGTCTCAGTAAAACCCAGGTTCCCAGCATCTCCATGGCAACTTTGATATGTTGAGGTATTGACGTTGCAAGCAACCAAGCTTCATCGAGAGGACAAATACCATCCATGGCCTGCAGTCTTCAGGAGACCCATATCATCCAGAGTCTCAGTTGCCCTGTTGATAGTCACAGAAGGTGACTGTTGGCTTATGGAATCAGAATGCCGCAGCTGGAAGAGTATCTCAGCAGGCCCACGGTGACCACCTCATCTCACAGATGAGGAACCTGCGATCAAAAAGAAGGAAGTGACTTTCCCAAGGTCTCACCATCATCCAAATCTAGAGTAGAAACCAGATCCCCTCTACCTGCTCTCCCAACTGCTCCTGTCACACAGGCCCTGCCATCATACACAAATTGCTTTCAACTCCCCATTCCATATTTCCACAGCTCTCGGTGTTGCTGGCTTTCCAGAAGTCTGTTTCCTCTCGGTTCATCAGCTCTGGTTTACCATCACCATTAATGAGGCTTAGTTTGCATTCCCTCCCACTTGGATGATCTGATCTCCTTTTAATACTCTCCACGTGTTAACACCAAGCCTCCAATCCTACAGCCTTGGGAGAAAGGCTTTAGAGTCTTTTTGTTGGTGAGATGAGCCTTGTAGTCTTGCCCCACCTCTAACCATCACAGAGACAAAAAATTAAAATGAAGCATGCAGCCGTAAACATTCCAAATGGTTTTGTTCCCATCGGGAGACCTTCAGCAGCTGTCTCTGAAAGGATGCAACAATTTACCTCCTCTCCCTGCCACTTTTATTTTTCTTTGCCTGTTTTATGTGTTCTTGTTAAGGAAAGCAAGGCAGTGAAGTTGAGAAAGTACCAGTACATTGAGTAATCTCCGTTTTAGCTTTCCTACCTACTTTAGGTCATCGCCACCCCATCCCTACTTAGTTTTGAGCCATCCATCCCCATGCACAAGGGCGATCACTTCAGCCTTGTGAAATAACTCTAAAAACTGGAAACAATACTCACGCCCACTGATGGTGACCTGGGTAATGACTGATTCACAGCCATGCTATTGAGGGATGATTCAGTGCTTGCCTTTTGGGGATGCAGACTGGGAAGTGTCATGCAGGACTGAGATAATAACGTTCGATGCCTTAATCTGCATGGTGATTTCCAGGATGTACACATGTGTAAAAATTTATCTTGCACTTTATTGCATATGCGTTATACATTGATTAAAAAAACCCATTAACAAAGGGGAAAAAAAGCGCTATGTTTATGGACATGGAAATACATTCACTCTGTGTGGTTTGCAACAAGCAAAGGCCGCTTTGGAGGTTGAAACGAGGACACAGTGTGGCCCACGGGCCAATCTGTGTTTGTAAATAATCTTTTATGGGAACAGAGCTGAATTCATTCATTTATGTATTATTTAGGGCTGCCCTTGTGCTGTGTATTAGCCTTCCTAGGTCTAATGGAGAGGCTTAAACAACGGGAATTTCCCGTCTCATGGTTCTGGAGGCTGGAAGTCTGAGATTAAGGCAGCAGCAGGGCTGTGCCTGCTCTGAAGGCATGAGGGTAGCACCTGTTCCAGTCCCCTGTCCCAGCTTCCGGTAGTTGCTCGGCTTGTGGCTGTGTTAACTCCAGCCTTCATGGTGGTGGTGGTCTCCCTGTGTGTGTCTGTGGTCAAATCTCCCCTTTTTATGAGAACATCAGTCATATTGGATTGGAGGCCTCCCCTTCCCCCCGTGTGAGCACATGTTAACTAAATCACATCTGCAATGACCCTATCTCCAAATAAAATCATATTCTGAGGTGCGGGGGTTTATGGCTTCAACATACAAATTTGGGGAGGGTCACGGGTCAGCTCAGAACATGCTACAGCAGCCGCAGAGTGGAGTTGTTGTGATACAGACCGCATGGCCCACAGCTTAAACTATTTATTATCTTGTCTTTACAGAAAAAGTTTGCCAATCCCTGCTTTATTTAAAAAAGTGTGTGTGTGTACACACGCATGTGTGCATACATAAGAAATTTGGAAAGCTGTTCACCAATGTGTTAACAGAGGTTGCCTCTGAATTATGAGGCAATTTAAGTTTTAATTGTAGTTTTGATATTTTCTATATTTGGGTTTCTAAAAATTATTATATAATAATTTCTATAATATAAATCGATAGTAAACATGTTTCCCTTGGGAGGAAGACATCGTTCCTATGCACCCACTCTCCCTTCTTGCACCCTACCCCAAATTCTCCTGTACCTTAATGGTTTATTTTGGTCTGATGCAAACCTTTCTAAATAGGCCACTGCTTCCCACTGTTGGGAGTGCTAAGGGCAAACACTTAGCAAACCAGCAAACTCAACTGTTTACTCACTTGGGCATAAGGATTCTTCTTTATTTAGCTGCCTCTTGTATGTAACTTGGAGAGAAAAGGTTCTGGCTTTTATCTCCTCATTAAAAATAGATCCTTTTATGATGAGGGGATGGGGCGGCCATGAGTCACCCTGTACAGAGTGAAAGAAAGCATGTGGTGCTGGATCAGGTCTCAGGAGCTGGTCCCCAAAATGTTACCCCGCCATCCTCATGACTCCCTGGTTTTTTGTCATTGCAGGAAACTGGACGCTTTCATCTACGATGCGGCAGTCTTGAATTACAAGGCTGGGAGGGATGAAGGCTGCAAGCTGGTGACCATCGGGAGTGGGTACATCTTTGCCACCACTGGTTACGGAATTGCCCTCCAGAAGGGCTCCCCTTGGAAGAGGCAGATTGACCTGGCCCTGCTCCAGTTTGTGGGTGATGGTAAGACCTTGGGTGACCCCCTATCCTTCAGGGGACTTGACACCCTTGCACTCTCTCTCTTTGCTGATTGGCTTTCCAATGGATCTTTGTATGATGTGTTTGCTTACTATTTATTGGGTGCCTCTCACATGATACCATAGTTTTCTAGGTTGCTTATAATGGGAACCAATTTTAGACAACAAAATTTTCCAAAGAAACTTATTTTAGGGATGCAGAAGTGTCTATCTCAGTGAATTGAGGAAGGAGTTGAGCAAATAGTTGAGCAAATAGGAAAAAAAAGCAGGAACCGGAGCAGTCCTCGGGCCTTGATAGCAGGACTTCATAGGTCCTGTCCTAGAGTAGCAGTTCTCAATCAGGGCAGTTTTGCCCCCCGGGGGGCACTTGGCTATATCTGGAGACATCTTTGATTGTCATGGTTGGGAGGCCGTTTGCTACTGGCATCTAGTGGGGAGAGGTCAAGGATGCTGGCAGACACCTTACAATGCCCAGGACGGCCCCCTCATCTCAAAACACGGAATTATCTGACCCCAAATGTTAGTAGCCCTGGGGTAAAGAAACCATGACGTTACATGACTAGGCTCCAGTCCTAAACTCTGTTCTCTCGATTCTAAATTTCATATTCCAGAGGAAGGATTCTTGATGCATTTTGAACCAAAGACTCTTTCCTGGACCCATCAGGAGTGCCTAAGCGGTGGGGTTACATTGTACCAACACAGAGGCTCCTGATTTTATCCTATGGAGGAGTAAGGGAGAGGCAATCTCTTGAAAAGGAATATGAGCAGAAATCCCATGGGTTTCCAGTACAGTCTACCTGCTTCTCCTGCCAAAAGACAGTTTCCACCCCCATGGGTCTTACAGTCTCTTGGGACCGTGGCGTTTATGGACCTCTGTAGGTGATTGGGCTGTGTCTCCAGCATCATTGCCTTCAGTCTGCCCTCTACTTCCTAGTTGGTGATCTCACTGGCTGGAGTTTTTTAGGATCCTGTCCTGGCTCAAATGGCAGGTTAACCCTGAGAACCTGAGTAAGTTGGGGCCCAGGGCAGCAGCTGCATCCAAGGACAGCTGGAGGCCATGTTCAGAGATGGTTGCAGAATATGCCGTACCTCCCTGGAGCTGGGAGAGGAGAATCCGGCAACCAGTGCGGTCAAATACAACACTGAAATGCACAGACATTCATGCGCAGTGTGGTATGATTTTGAACAAGGTGCCTATTTCCTTGCAACTTCTCCTCCTTTCTCTGCTCCCAGAATTAAGCCCTAGATTCTCAGAGTGCCATCAGAACATCTAAATGTGTTTTATATTTAACTCCCAAATAAGAACATCTGATCCTCTGAATTCCCTGTAGGGCATTTGTACCTTCTTGGGATCATGAGCCATGTTCTCTGTTGTGTAATAGTGACTTGTGGCTGTGTCGGTCAGCTCTGGCTGTGAAATCTAAGAGGCATACCCCACTAGGCCTTTATTTTGCTCGTGGGAGTGCAGGTTGAGTGGAGGAGCTCTGTCTCAGGTTGTGGTGGCCTTGGTGGCTCTGGGCCCTGCGGTGTACCCATGGATCAAATGTGCTGTCTGCTCTGCATACATTTATTCTGGGACTCCGGCCGAAAGGGCAGGAGCCGCCTGGGAGAAGCTCTTTTCTTGGCTGTGTCACAGGCACAGAGGAGATAACCAACTGTACATGTGCATTTCAAGTCTCTGCTTCGCCATGGTCACATCTACGAACACCCTCTGTCTAAGCAAATCTGATGGCCAAGCCCAAAGTAAAGAGATCAGAGGTACACTCTGCCTTTTAAGGGGGGGGAGTTTGGAGTTACAGGACAAGGGGTGTGGACACAGGGGTGAAGAACTGGGACCATTTCCTCCACCTGACAGCCTGGTCGCCCAAGTCTCCCTACACAGGGTGAACTATTCAACAAATGAGTCTTGTTTCCATCAGTAAATACCACAAAATCCTGAACTTGCCCTGACCTGATAACTGGCCCATGAAGGACTGAGTGAACAAACACATGCACGGATGAACGGTGGGTGTCGAGGTGTATTTCATTTGACAGGACACTTTTAAATATGATGGGTAGCTGTCAAATAAGTGAGTTCGAACTCTACTCCTGTTAGTCCTTGCTGTTACTCTGACAGGATCTGTTCTGGAACAGCAACATATGCCAGTCACCACACTGCTGACATCACCTGGGTTAATAGTCATAATAACTTTAGGAAGTTCAGTGTTGTTTCTACACATTTTACAGAGGAGGAAACGGAAGCGCAGAGGGCTAGCTAGTAAGTGGCAGAGTTTCTACTGCAGGGGCCTCGCTCTGGAAGTGGGTCAATTATGTAAAACTGCTTCATTCAATTCACTAGGTTGTCTGTCGAAGATGGCTAATTAGATGCTTGAGATTTATAGATCCTTTAGGAAGGAGTAATTTAGTGCATATCTGAACTAAATCTATTGTCCCACTGACAAATACTTCTATGAAGGGGGTCATCTTTCTTAGCCTCTGTTTACTCATCTATGAATGAATGCATGCAGAAATATTTACCTGATAAAGTTGATGTCAGGATGAAATGAGAGGATATGTGTAAAGAGCTTAGCTAAAGCACCTGAAAATAGAAATGGTTCAATAAATGCTAGCTATTACCATCATCTCCATCATCATTATCATGACCATCACCATCATTATCATTATATCATCATCACCAGCACCATCACCACCACCATCATCATCACCACCATCATCATCTTCATCATCATATCATCATCACCATCGTCACCATTACCACCACCATCATCACCATCATCACCATCATCACCACTATCACCAACACCAACATCATTTTATCACCAGCACGATCATCATCACCACCATCCTCATCATTACCATTCTCCACCTAAACCTCCTCCTCATTGTTGTCCATCCACAACTCCAGTATTCAGTACAGCCTATTTAGTGTTGTATTGGTGATAACAGTATCATGGAAACAATCTTTATGGTGCTGCACAGAAAATGTCCTCTTTCTGGCAAATAAAAAAATACAAAGTAAAGGCCCCAGAGAGGCCAGAAGTGTGTTCCTTGTTACTAGCAGGGCATCTAGATTCTTACACATATTTTCAGTCCTCACTCATTGCTTTCCTGGTCAGACTGTTGGGATTGGGAAACGTGTCTTCTCAGCTTCATCTTTAGAGACCATCTGGAAGCAAAGACATGGAAGAGAAAATGACATTGCTCCAGGGGGCGTCTTAAGATAATCTTCCCGGAAAGCCATGTCCAATTCGGAATGTCTCTCTAGGAGTAAATACATGAATTAACACAGCTGCATAAATATTTCACTTATCTTATGCAGCTTCAGCAGGATTAATTATGCTCTAAAATTAGACCTGTAAAGAGCACAGTGCTAAGCAGTACCTAATTATTATTCATCCTCTAGAATGGAGTGTTTATCTCTTGTTACAGAGTAGCTTCGGTGGACGATTACGAGTCTAATGAGTGTCAAAAGTATAAAAAATTTTCCTAATGAGCTGTGTAAATATAACCTTTGAGTGGAGTGTTTGGTTATTGAGGGAACCTCTTACATGAAGCCTGCCAGGCATTTCCCTAGGAAAAGGACTGGTGATTTCCCTTAAGGGGTACACAGGATCCCAATAAGACCTTACCTTCCTTTTCCTGTCTAACCTTTGTGTCCTTTCTGAGATACTGTAGTGCACCGTGGGGATCTTCGGTTCTCAGTACTTCAGTCACAACATTCATGGGTACTTTTCAGCATTAAACATCAATATCCAACCTTTACTGAGAAACATACTTTCCTAGGCACTGATGTTCCAAGAGGGGGATGTCATGGTCTTTTTCTTCTCTCCTTCAAGGAACTTACAGTCCTGTTGGTTGGCAATGAATAAACTTAAAATATCTCATCTCAAAATATAAACATTTATAATAATTCATATATATGAATTCATACATACATATGAGTATATTCTTAGGTATCTTGGATAGGTGAGAGAAGAGTCAAGGAAGAATATGGGATATAGGGTTTTTTAATGGGAAGATGAAAAGGCAGAGTAAGTCATAAGGAAAACGAGTCTAGTAAGAGTTCAGTGAAGAATAGAATGGGCCAGAGTTCACAGTATCATTCATTAATTCATCCAGCAACCAGAAAGGATCTATTGAGTACCTGATAACTCCGTGGCACCTAAGAGGTGACATTGATGAAGAATATAAAGAATGAGTCAGTCTGGGACTTAAAAAATGGCATTTCTGGCTTCAAAGGAGAGGTTAAATGGGAGATCTGTTAGGTCCCATCAATCTCACAGATTTTGTAGTTTTTTTAAATGTGATCCTAGGATTTGAAGAGACAGAAGGAAGATCATAGAGGCTAAAGCCCTTTGGGTGTACAGAGGCCAGCAAGAAGATATTGAGAACAAGGTTGTATAATATTATTCAGCGGCAAGTGATGCTGAGGGTAAGGAAGGAAACCACTGTTTTTGAGCCCATACTCAATGGCCCAGTGTGGTGCCAAGTAACTCACAAATATTCTTAGCAACACTTCGTACAGTATTCTGGGGTACGTCTTAGTATTTCCATGTTGCAGAGCAGGAAAATGAGGCTCCATTGGGTTTAGTGAGCTACAGCAGAACTTTTAAACTTCAGTGTAAACAGGAATCACCTGGGGATCTTGTCAACTGGCAGACTGTTTCAGTCGGTCTGGGGATGGGGAGCCTGAGATTCTGCATTTCTAACAAGCTCCAGGTGATGCTGATGCTGCCAGTCTACGGACAACACCCTGAATGGATTTTTATAGTTCTTGTAACTCTGGTTCTGATCGTCTTTTCATTAAACCGTGGTCCAGGGAAAAATCTTGGTTGCTAGTGGCCAGATCACCTTAGCTATAAATAATAGGCTCAAGCATTGAGAAGCATTTAATCTTCCTCTTTGTACTTTGCTCAGTTTTCATGGTTGTTGGTTTATTTTTAAACCCAGAAATACAGTACTCGTCCCTGGTAGCTCATCTGAATT